CAAGGAGGTGTCAGAGGGGTCACCAAAGACCATCAGAAAACACAGTATTTTCTCTTGGCCATGGGGGTTCTGTGTGGGAAGTTTGGCCCAATTCTATCATTGGTGGGATTCAGAATGCTCTTTGATTATGGTGAACTATAAATCCCAGCAACTACAACTCCCAAATGTCAAGGTCTATTTTCCCCAGTGTTCACATTTGGGCATATTGAGGATTCGTGCCAAGTTTTGTCTAGATCCATCATTGTTTGAGTCCACAGTGCTCTCTGGAGGTAGGTGAACTACAGTTCCAAAACTCACGGCTAATACCCACCAAACCATTCCAGTATTTTCTTTTGGTCATGGGAATTCTGCGTGGCAAGTTTGGTTCAATTCATTCAGTGGAGTTCAGAATGCTCTTTGATTGTATGTTAACTATAAATCATGGCAACTACAACTCCCAAATGACAAAATCAATCCCCCTCAACTCCACCAGTATTCAAATTTGGGTGTATCGGATCTTTGTGCCAAATTTGGTCCAGTGAATGAAAATACATCCTGCATATCAGATATTTACATTACAATTAATAACAGTAGCAAAATTACAGTTATGAAGTAGCAACAAAAATAATTTTATGGTTGAGGGTCACCACAACATGAGGACTTGATTACAAGTAATTAGTTATTCACAACAAATAACTTCCAAGCTCTGGAAAGGAAGTCATGCTTCTTTTGCTTTACTCCATCACCTCCCTGCCAAAAGTCTCCTGTTGCTTTTTACATTTTTTGTAACTGGTGAGGATTTCAGAGTCAGTGATTCCTTGAAAGACGAGTTGTGATTAATTGAGTCTGAAGTAGATGTAGTCAGAATGAACTTAAAACACACATACCCACACCCACATCACTTAATTGCTATTTGGACAAGGATCAGTCATTTCATTCTTTATTTAAGGTACAATGCTATCTCTGTTTTACTAATCAGCAATTATAGGTTAAAAACAATTTGGTTGTTTTTAAAATGAAGAGATGTTTCTGCTATACATCAGCTCACACTTTGCTTTTTTAGTTGTGAAACATTTCCTTTCATGGGGTGCCCTCTTTTGTGGGCTGACTGCTACTTGGTCCCACCACCTTCATTTCTTTCATGTTACAATCCCTAAAGGCATCACCATCTGAACTTGGAAGCTAACTTGGATGGAGACTGCCAATGAACACCAAGTGCTGTAGGCTATGTTGTAGAGGAAGCAATTGATAAAACCACCTCTGAGTATTTCTTGCCTAAGAAAAAAAACATAGCAAATCCTTGGTGCCACCATACATTGAAAGTGCACACACCATCTTTACAACGCAGTAATGCAGAATGGTTCAGTGACCTAGTTGTAGTAGAGGTGAATTCATTTCAACCTTACATTCTTCCAGATGGGCTTGGCATTTCAGTTTTGTCCATTAATATTTTTTTTCAAATTATTACAAACCAGATGACAGCATTTAACAATCAGCTCCTTTCTCTCACATACAGATAGAACTTTATGCCCAGGTAGTAGAGAAGAGCTATATATTTTATTTATTGTATCAGGAGTGAACCATTGTTTTTGAGAAAACACACAGTTTAAAAACATGGCATTCTACTAAAAGTAATTTGACCAGTAGCTGGCCACTTGGGAGTGCCTCTGGTGTCACTATAAGGAGGTGCTCCATTGTGCATGTGGCAGGGCTCAGGTTGCATTGTAGTAGGGGGTCTGTGGTTTGTCTTCTCCACATTCGCGTGTCATGGACTCCACTTTGTAGCCCCATTTCTTAAGGATGGCTCTGCATCTTGTGGTGCCAGAGCGCAGTCTGTTCAGTGCCTTCCAAGTTGCCTAGTCTTCTGTGTGCCCAGGAGGGAGTCTCTTATTTGGTATCAGCCATGGTTTGAGGTGCTGGGATTTAGCTTGCCACTTTTGGACTCTCACTTGCTGAGGTGTTCTTGCGAGTATCTCTGTAGATCTTAGAAAACTATTTCTTGATTTAAGGTGTTGAGCTATAGAAACCAATCCTTTTGATAGAAGGAGCCCAATCCACTGACCATTGGATTGTGTGTTCTGCCTGCTGTCCTACATTAAGTTTATTTGTTTTTTATTTATTTTTGCTGGGGTTCAGATTTTTATTTATAATTTTGTAATCTACAGTTAGGAATCCATAAAATCATGGGTTAAGCTAGCTTCATTTTGAATCCATCGCCTCCTGTCTCCATGATGAATAGGAACTTTTGGTGAATACCCCAGGTTTTCTGGTTTTGATTTGATCGACTGTTCTAGACCAAATCGCAAAATACCTTAAGGCTGAAAAGCAGTCTGGATAGTTGGATTGGATATATTGTGGTCAGATCCCATGTCCAAATGGACACTGCCACCGTAACCCTTTCTCTGAGCTGAACAGCAGAGAGGAAGAGAATGGCTCACCCCTGCATCACTGTAATTGCTTCCTACTGGCAACAGAGTTCACTGAAGAATACCTCGCCATCATGGGCATATATTGCTGATATTTGCAGATGATGATCAACCCCTTACTTCTTGCTAGTTGCACAGGTGCCCTGTTCTGACATCAGCAGATGTGACCGGAGATAGCCAAGCACTCTCACAGAACTCTGTGACTGGCAGGTTGTGGCAGTGGCAACATGGAGGACAAGATAACATCCTAGCCGGGCTGCTGTGACCCCAGCCTGACTGGACTGGTCTTTAGTTTAGCATGTACATGCTGGATCTGGGGTTGCTATGAGACAGATATACAATGGACTAACCCGCCTAGTGTAGAAACAGCCTTTGTAATGTTACTGTAAGACTATGTAATGCCACCTCCTCAGCCCACATTAACAGCCAGCAACCAGACTGGGTGAAGGATGTATCTTCAGCTGTCGATCAGGATGAAAGGATAATGTTTTTAACTCCCTCCCATTAGTGACTGAGACTGCAACCACCAGATCTTAGACACACAAGTTCTTTTTGCAAGTTTGCTCTCTGGTGAAGGAACTGAGAATATCATCCTTGCTCCTCAGTTGCCAGCTGAACAGACCTTTCTCTCCTAATCTTACTGCTGGTTGTTAAGGTGGACTAGAAGGGGAGGATTGGACTAGAAACATTACTTAGTTGTTATGCATATATAACTAAGAAGCCCATGAAGTATATTAGTATTGATTTATTTCTCTGTGACTGTGATTCAGAGTGGCTTACTACACAATTAAAAACTAATTCAGATGAAACATTACTAAGCATTACTATAAAATTATAGAAACAGTATTAAGTAAGTTACATAATTAATGCCACAATTAAACTAAAGAAAATTGAAAGTGGATAGTTTTAAATAACTGTCAAAAATAAAGAAACCTACTGGGTGCATCTATTTTACACCATGTCCTCCAATTGCCAAAAATCTGTCTGAATAATAAGTAATTTCCTGCCGAAGACAACAAGGAAGGACCAAATTGTCCTGGGCGCAGCCACCCAGAAAGTTCTGCCTCATGTTCTCACTAAACCTGCCTCCAAGGGTTATGAGAACAAGAGAAAGGTTTCCCACACAGATCTAAAGGGCTGGACATGTCTGGGAGAACATTCATTTTTTCAAATTTCCTGGAAATTAGTTGTAGACACTCCTTTTATCTCCTGTCAAATAAATTGTGGATTACTCATTGAAGTACTATCAACATATTGGCAATGATAGGAGACCCCAGTGGCAAAATGAGTTAAACCCTTGTGCTGGCAGGATTGTTGACCGACAGATCAGTGGTTTGAATCTGGGGAAAGCGGGTTGAGCTCCCTCTGTCAGCTCCAGCTCATGCGGGGACATGAGAGAAACCTCCCACAAGGATGGTAAAAACATCAAAATGCTTGGGTGTTACTTGAGGAACATCCTTGCAGATGGCCATTTCTCTCACATCAGAAGTGACTTGCAGTTTCTCAAGTCGCTCCTGACATGAAAAAAAATGGCAATGATAACTGGGTGCTCTCCAGATGTATTGGACTGCAACTGCTATCACAGCCAGCCATCAATAAGTAAATATATGTGAATACACCCAAAAGCTGAAAAAGGCTTATTCATAATATCTATAGGCTTATTTCAAGATACATAACCACCAGTTCCTTATTTATAAACATTGGCCTAGTGGCATTCCAATTACATATATTTGATACCAACTTAAAATTTGGATTAAAGACCATTCTGGATCATTTTGAACTGTTTTGATTTTAGGGGTATATAATTTATGGGGTGGATCTCTGAAAAGTTTTGGGTTTTTTAAATTTTGGGAGTTCAAAGACGCATAAACTTTACCTTTCATAAATGAATACAGATTAAGCATCTCTTCTCTGAAGTGCTTGAGATCTGAGGTGTTTTGGATTTCAGATTTTTTAAAAGATCTTGGAATACCTGTATTTGTATCATATATGTACATAATGAGAAACCTTGGAGATGGGACTCAAGTCTAAACAACATCTTTGTGCATGTCTCATAGACACCTTATACACATAGCTGAAGTTAATTTATACACAAATTTAAAAATCATTTTGTGTATGAAACAAATGCTGTGTACATTGAATAATCTGAAAGCAAACTGACATGGATAAAGGGTGCCCAACTTGTATTAGTGTGTCAACACTGTGAGAATAAAAAGAAAAAGTCAGAAATATCGGACTGATGAAGCATGAAGGAAATTATGGGTGAGAACCCTTAGGAGGAAGAGTGAAAATCCACCCTGGAACAGAATGGTTGTCTGCATCTCTTTTGGTGCATAAACAATTACAGAGGATGTTGCACATTACAAAATCAAAACATTTCTTAACACTATTGAATTCAATCTACCGATACTCCTCTGTCACCTTCCGTATTCAATCTGCAGTTTTGCCATTAGCTCAGATATCTATTTCTTCACTTCAGTGGCCAGTTTGTTTCAAAGACATGTGGGTGTGTCTATCATCTACATCACATGTTGAGCCATTTCCACTGAGCAACCAATCCTTGGAGTTGGAGAAGTTAATCCTGGTTGCTAGGTGGGGCTTCCAATGACTTTATAAAAAGCAGAAGGCTTAGGCTTAGTTCTTCCAGTCAGTACTTTACCAAATCAGAAAACAGAGTTGGTGTGACTTGTGGAAAGGAAAAGGTATGGTTTCTTTAGACATCATTTCTTCACTTGCTGTAGAAGTGTGTTGCTTTCTGCACATGTTGATGTGGCTTTTTTTCCCTGCACAGAATGTGAGAATAGTATTGTAGTTTATCTAAGCTTCTCCAATTGTTTTGAAGTTGTGTGGATATTAGGGCAGCTGGGGTGGGAGTGGCAAAGCTTTATAGTGTCTAAATCTAAACGTCTGAATATAAAGTTTTCTTAAGTTTGTACAATACAGGTTTTTTTTAGAACCGACTTGCTCCATGCTGTGTTTGTTCATGTTTCTATGGACAACTGAATTATTTTTAACCACAAAAGTCTGTGTCAAGAGGGGAAAAATGCTCCTCCCTTGTATGGAAACTTACATGAGGCCACTTCCCCTGCGGTTATGATGAAGTTGCTTAATTATTTAGGAATAGTAGAGCTCAGTTCTCCTAAACTTGAAAATATTAACAGCATATGAAAAGCAAAGTGAAAATTTAAATAAGAGCTGCCTTCTGAGAAAGCAAGGGAATGAAACAGTCCAGTTTTTCTGTTTACACGTAAGCAGCAACTCAGCAGCATGAGTAAGCTCTGTGGAATTCTACTTTTAGTCTGTTCAAACTTTCCACAGATACATAAAAAAGAGTGTCGGGCCATTTCCTCCTCACTGGTGGATTCTTTTCAGTCATAAAACAAGTTTTTCAAGATTTTTCACGCCATCCTGGCTGTAAAATTTGTAGGAGTTGCATATAAATGCAGGCTGACTGCAAGGGTAACTGTTCTTTTAGGAAGTGAGTTTTGTTGGCAGTCTTAACCACATTTACTTGTTACAAAGTATATCACCACACTCAAGACAATGGGATTTCACTTTTGTATGAATGTGCTTGCATGTTTTAATTGATGCTCTATACATACAACAGTCCTTAAGCTGAGTGACTAATGGTCCTCCAACTGTTGTTGGCTGTGCCTGCTGGGGATGATAGGATCTGGAGTGAATATCATCAGCTGGACCATAAATTGCCCACTACTTTGCCCTATCATACTGTACTACATTTATATTGGGACAGGATTTGCCTTCCTGTTTTCCTGCAAGCATTGCATGGGACATGTACTTTGGGGATACTGCGGCCCACAACAAATGATCCCAGAAACATAGTTATGAGGTTGTAGATACTTCCAATGAGATTAACGTGTTGGCTATTTCCTGCAATGTGTGGTTATCTTTTATAACCTATACTACTTCCAAAAAGATCTAACTGGGATCACATTTTAATAGATCGGGGCGTGGCCATCCCACATCCAGTTCCTGAAAGTTTTGTGTCCCATCACCAGAGGCTCTTCTTTTATTCAAATATTATAAAGGCTTAACATATGGCTGCTTGCACAAGTTTTGCAACCATCGTCTGGGTTATATCATAACAGTATGCAAGAGATCTCTACAGTTGTATTTCAAGGGAGAGAACTAGAAATCTCTAGAAGGAAATGAAACCTTCCTAACCTACAAACTCAGGATTCTATAGGCTGGAGCCGTGGCAGTAAAAGTAAAATCAAATTGTTATAATTAAAGAGTGTGGTTAAAATTAGTCTCTTTTACTAATTTTAAACTGATGTGTTGAGTCTTTTATGTACAGCTTTGGGACTGGGCTATGGGATTGTTCTTCGTTCTTGTAGTTTGAAGCCATTGTCCCGCTTCCTGCTGCTTTGGAGACTAGGACTTGTAACAATTACTTCAAACTACAGGAAAGGAGATTCCACCTGAATATTAGGAAGAACTTCCTAACTGTGAGAGCTGTTCAGTAGTGGAACTCTCTGCCCTGGAGCATGCTGGAAACTCCTTCATTTACCGGTTAATCAAAAGCACATTGTTTTTAGGGCTTTACAGAAAGTGGACAGGGTGCACACTAGTCTAATCTCCGTGTGGAGAGAGTTCCAGGGCTGGGGGCCACCACCGAGAAGGCCCTCTCTCTCGTCCCCACCAACCACACTTGAGACAGAGGTAGGAACGAAAAAAGGGCCTCTCCAGGAGATCTTAGAGCTCGCACAGGTTCATCGGGAAATATGTGATCACAATGATAGGCTGGACCCAAACCGTTTAGGGCTTTGTAGATAATAACCTGAACCTTGAATTGGGACAGGAAACTTATCAGCAGCAAATGGAGCTGTTTTAATAGGGGAGTGGCATAACAATATTAGTGCACAGCAAACATGATCACTATGCTGGCTTTTTAATTTGATCACATGTTGGACACTTCTCAAGTGTCTAGAACTGTATGATGTATTGGTGAATAATGAGTGCAGTAGGGTATGCAAGTAGGGTAGCCTTTTGCAGCTGACAGATGGTTATTTTATCAACGCCGATTGTTTTTAAGTGTAGACCAAGGTCTTTAGGCACTGCACCCAGTGTGCCGATCACCACTGGGACAACCTTTACTGGCTTGTGCCAGAGTCTTTGCAGTTTTATCTTTAAATACTCATGGGATGGTGCATGAGGTCTCTTCCAACTCTATGATTCTATGAAACAGCATGTCACATAGTTTCTCCCAGAGTAAAATGAGAATACCGCAGAGGACTCTGACTCATTTAGAGGCCTCCGGGCAGATGTGGGAGGAATATTTGTCTAATGTGCTGGCTCTTGGAATGTCCTGAATAACCAGAAGAGTGTTTAAAATGAATGTACAAAAGAGAATTCTACAGCATTTTATTCTCATCTCTTGTTGCAGAAACATAAATCAACATGGCTATGGTGCAAGAATTTCTGAAACAGTCCTTTTTCATTGATAACAATGAACAACAATACATGGTAAGTAGTATTTTAAAGAATTTGGCTAAGATCCTGTTCAATCCAGTAGAGTATATTATTACACAGACATAGCAACAGCTTTCTGGTGGCCATCCTGTTACCTGTTCTGAGTCCTGGAGTGAGGCAGAGGTGTGTCCTTTTCAGGTTGCTTGTTGAACAGTGGGTTAAGGTAGCACTGCTTGTTGAAAGGGACACTGGGTACTTTTTTGTGTAGGCGTGTGAAAAGTACAGTTGTTGGCTTAGTCTGGAATTATGCTACTTTAAAAATTCATGAGATTCTCATAAATCAATAGGTTATTTGAAGACACACACATACTTCTGTGTGTGTGTGTGTGTGTGTGGGGAGAAGAACAAAGTCAGATAGCCAGTCACTCTCATTTTCAGGATTCTACATTCCAGTTTCCTCTACTCTCCACAGTCAACATTTTATATTTGTGAAAATGATTGGTTCTTATAGCTCTTTGTGCTAGGAATTTTTTTCTAGTTTTGCAAGGGAATTCAATACTAATGCATAGCAGGAGTGGGAAAACTTTGGCCTTTCAGAAGTTTGGGGTTTCAGTTTTCTAAATCTCTATCCAGAATGGCCAGCGATGACGGATTATGGAACTTGTCATTCAAATCATCTGGAAGGTATTGATTCCCTACTATAAATGCTATCAATACATGCAACGTGATCAGTGATATATCTTCCTTTTTCATAGGTTTGCGTAGCAATTTTAGTACTGAGAACAAAAGTAACTCCTTTATTATAATGATAACTACCCCCACTATCACCACTTTTATTTATACCCCCATTTGCCCCAAGATTGAGACAATCTGAAAAAAAGGCATCTTATCAGAACCATAGCCTAAATTCAATTTTTAGTCTCAAGTTAAGTAGTTTCATTAAATTAATTGTATTTGTAATTTTGGGAGCCCCTATGGGGTCATGGATCTCCACATATGGGTCTCCTATACCAGTGGTTCTCAACTTGTGGGTCCCCGGGTGTTTTTGGCCTACAACTCCCAAAAATCTCAGCCAATTTACCAGCTGTTAGGATTTCTGGAGGCCCCCCTACACAGCCCTATCTCCTAGAATATCAAGGCAGAAAATTGCACATTATCTGAGTGTGGTCTCGGATAATCCAGATCAAATCATGGGGTTTTCTGACTTGACATTCTGGGATACAGGGCTGTGTGGAAGGGCCTTGGGAGTTGAAGACCAAAACATCTGGGGACCAACAGGTTGTGAACCACTGCTCTAGACAATGACCCTGGAGACCAAGTTCCAATCTTCTATTTGGCCATGCATGACTTGGGTAAATGATGCTCTCTTATCCTTGGAAGGCCAAGGATAATTCCTCTAAACATGTCTTTTAAAGAAAACCCCATGATACTTCACCATAGGGTTGTCATAAATCAGAAACCACTTTGAAAGCACGGAACAGCAGCAATAGTTTTGAGAGATGGGCAAAAAGTAAATCAAATTAATCAGTCCTTAATTCGATGAGTTTAGTTTGTTTGAGAACAATTTATAACATCTAGAATCAATTTATTTCCCACCTAGTCATATGTGGAAGCCTTTCATTGCATTAAAAGTGATTACAATTACAGTTGTAACATCCAAATACTCAAATAGGATGTTATATATATATTCATCTTCAAATTAATGTATACTTTAACTGGATGGCTCTAAGTGGATGTTTGAGGGAGAATAGAAAGCTAAAGAGAATGAAGATTTTTAATTGATTTAACTTTTAATTGCTCTAGAAAAATTCTAAAACTGGGTCAGCTGTCCACGCTTATCCTAGTTTCAATCCTTCAGCTGATGCTGCCGCACTGGACCAAGCCATAAGAGCCAAAGGTAAGTTGAAAAGAATAAAGTATGCAAATGAATAAAAATAGCTTGGGGCTAAAAGTGTCCTGTATGAGATTAAGTGTGTTTCCATTCCCAAAAGGAGTTGGCATTTATCTGCTTCCACTTTCCTTGTTATGTGTCATTTCTTCTGGAGAATTCCCTAACCTTTGGAAATGGGTTTTCCAGGAATACAAGATGATAGAGAAGGAAATTAAAAGTGGAGATTCAGGAAAGGAACAGAAGCTAGTATCAAACTACTGTTCCTTTGAAAATGTGTAGAATATACTGACTCCTCCAAAATTTCCATTGAGAAATGTCTCATAGTTGCATGCAACATGAGAATGCACATGGAAGACCCTTTGCCTGAAACTCCCACACTGAAATTTCCCAATTTTTAGAAAAGCCAGCATGTCATGTATGTCCACTAAGGTTACATATCAGTAAATGAAATTGAACAGCATTAGAAAACCAAGTTTTGAGGGATTTTCTCCTGTGGAAGTAATCTGTAAACACTTTTTAACAAACTCCTTTTAGTCATCATTCATTACTCATTCTGGCTCTTATTACTTCTATTTTTTGAGACTGACTTTGGAAATATTGAGCTATGTGCAGTTCAGTTATTTTTAATGGGTAATTGAGGCCTTTTTCACACAGCTGAATAAAATCCCATATTATCTTCTTTGAACTGGGATATATGGCTGTGAGGACTCAGATAACCCAGTTCAAACCAGATAATGTGGCATTTTCTGCCTTGATATTCTGGGATATAGGGTTGTGTGGAAGGGCCCTGGGGTAAAGGGTGATGATGGTTAAATGAGTGTCTTCTTAGTTATTTTTCAAAAGCAATGACATTTAAATTTTTGTAGGAATTGCATTACCATTTTTATTTTACAGGGAATATTTTAGTTACTTTAAACAGCCCTTTTAAGGCATTTTATGTGTATTTTTTAACAATGTATTTTCTAAAAATATGCCATTATTCTACCAATTGTAAAGTGTTCTTTTAACTAAAACCTAAGCAAAAAGCTAAATAATAAAGTGAGCCACTTCTTTACACTGTTAATAGTACAAATTACTTTTCTAAGCTTTGTAACAAGTTGCATAAAGAAATAGATTTCACCAAAAAATATTAGGGATTATAAAGATTATGGAGTGTTTCACAACAGTCCATGGCAAATCTGGTGGTAAAAGGCACCTCAAGACAAGATACAGAGCGAAGGAAGGCAATTTATACTCCTGTAAATGGCTTAGATAGAAATGTGGAAATAACCTGAAGGGATTTTTTATTAGGTCCAAAAATATGAAAATAATTCAGCAGCAGTGGCCCAGGCCTTGTTCAAGCATCAGCATTATAATTCTGTTAATAATATACCAAATACTATGTTGTGTATTATCAGTTCAACTTGTAAGATTTATAATTATAGACACTTTTCTCATCACATTTCAGGTGTTGATGAAGCAACCATCATTGATATTTGTACCAAAAGAAACAATGCCCAACGGCAGCAGATCAAAGCTGCCTATCAGCAATTAAAGGGAAAGGTACTGTCTCTCTCTCACAAAAAAATTGCCCTTATCACATATCTTTTGTACCCCCCCCCTTCTGTTGGCCTTTAGTATTATATGATACTTTTTTAAAAAATGGGGAAAAATAAAATGTTATGCTGACAATTTTGATGACTAGAATGGAGATTTCTAAAGCTGGGCAAACAGTACCCTCAGAAGAACTGTGTTCTCCTTGAGTTGTCTGTGGCGTGCTAAGATCTGGCAACTAAATGGAGGATCAGGCCTCCAGAAGTTTACACAGAAGTGATTATCCTTTTTGAAGCAATGTCCCCCTCTCACATGTTCTTTTTTTTTGGGGGGGGGGGAGAGCTTTGGCTAGTCACTTCCAGTTCTGAAAAAAATGGATGAACATCGACCTCAGGAATCTTGGAGTATTAAATTACCATGACTCTCAGATATTCTAGTGCCCCCGATTCAGTTTGCTTCATTTCTCAACCACCATGATCATGTGATTAGGGACCTCATTATACTGATGGGCTCACAGTTCTGTTTTGCCGGTGAATGGAAGGCGCACCTGGTGCCTCACACATTCCCCTTTTCCTTCCCCCATCACATGGGGGCATTGGGACAAGGAACAATGGCGCCCTGTCCCCATCGGATGGGGAAAGGGTGGTAATGTGCATTGCCCTTTCCCCTATCAGAAAGTGGAAGAGGGTCAAAAAATGGAGCTACCCAAGAGACACCTTACCTTTCATTGTTGGCAAGGAGGTGTCTTGTGAAGCTTCTTCACCACTTCACCATGAATGTAGCAAGGCGATGGCCAATGTCATGTGATGGCGCTCGGCAGGCCCCTTCCTTGAAGGGGAGCAAAGAGCCCAAAGACCCCAGTGTGATGAACTGGTAAGTGTCCTCTACATAGCTCCCCACTTCTGGTGGAAGTTCCTATTCACTGGTTCCTTGTGTTTTATTTTTTCCTAAGGCAGTGGTGAGCAAAATGTGGTCTAGTAGCCCCATGAAGCTCTCCCTCCCCCCCATTTGTCCACAAACTTTAGATTCCAAAATTTTATTTTCCTCTAGGACTTCATGATTTGAGGAATTTTTTTTAGTGTTTTCTGGGGCAGCCCTCCAGAGTCCAGCAGAAGGGAAATGCCTATCTTCAAACTGTGGCTCTCTAGCTGCTTGGGCCTCCAACTCCCAGAATTCCTGATCATTGAACAAACTGGGTAGAGCTTCTAAACATGAAAGGCCCAAACAGCTGGAGGGCCTCAGTTTGAGGATACCTGGCCTAAAGGATCTGCAAAAGCTGCCCATCACTACCCAGGATTTTACCTACAATGTTTAGTTGAAATTTAGTGAACTAGGGCACAGGATATTTCCCACTTGAGAATGGAGGTGAAAAGAGCAGCCTACACATGGTAGTAATTGGAAGATAGTGGAGATAGTGATCGATTATAATTTTATTGTTTTAATTGATGTATGTCTTGTCATGTTTTTATTTTTATTTACAAATTTTAACTGTTGGAATTTGTATGTTTTAATGTTGTAAGCCACCTTGAGTATGCATGCAGAGAAAGGTGGGGTACAAATATTCTAAATACATAAATAAATACAATATATGCTCTCCATGGGGAAAGGAAGGCAACAATAGTCTGCCCAGCAAAAAGACTTCCAGAAGATAGTGCAGATTGATGAAGACCTTTCTTCTTAAGATAGAGCTTTACTCTCCACATTATTCTTTAAATGGTCATATTATATGTATGGGGTTTTGTTTTACTTGTCAGCCCCTGGAAGATGATTTGAAGAAAGCACTGAAAAGCCACCTAGAGGATGTTATCTTGGCTCTTCTGAAGACCCCAGCCCAGTTTGATGCTGAAGAACTCAGGTGGTCCATGAAGGTATGTATATCTTGCAAAACTTTACTGGCCATTGAACCTGAAGGAGAGCTACTCCCATAGGACTACTACTAAGATTGTTTATAGTTTTGTATTTATCTTTACAATCCTTAGACTTTTCCTGACTGTGTTGTAGTTACCTCGTACTGTGACCTTGTATTGGCTGTGAGAGTTTTATTTTCTCCAACATCTAAATTTAAAAAATCAAGATCTTCCTGGGTTTTTTTTTGCTGTTTTTGATTTTTTTTAAGTGAAGAGAAATGAATTCATTAGGCACATCTATGCCCAAATTAGAGATACCTCTGACCCTTCTGGGGTCAGCCTGCATTATAGGCAGTAGGGCTGGGCAACCACGGAAAAATTTGTTTCTAAACTCAATTCGTTTTTTGGGGTTTTTTGCGTTTCGATATTTAAAAGAATTCCGAAATTTTTCTTCAAAAAAGTTTGATATTTACGACATTTTGTAAAATTACGAAACAATACGAAATGAATACGAAACGAATACGAATCGATTAGTTAATGGCGGACGCGACCGCGCAATACGCTAAAAAACCTCCATATGGGACTTCTGAAGCTTCCCTCTCCCTCTGTTGTTGACTGTTGGTGTGATATTTATAATTTTTTTTCACTGATTAAACAAACAACACTACAACAGCGATAAAACTTGCCCCAGACATGCGGAAATAATAACGAAACGATTTCGAAACGAATACGAAGCAATTACGAAACGAATTGAAAAATTTGTTTCGTTTTTTAGATGCTCCTGAATGGTTCGTTATCGCTTTGTAACAAAAAAAATAACGAATTTTTAACGAATTACAAAATTACGAAACGAAACCGCCCAGCCCTAATAGGCAGGCTACATCTTTTCAATAGTTAAAACAAAAACACACACACACACACTTGGGCATTATAGTTTAGGAGAGATGTGGCTATCAGAGTTTTCAAGGGATAAACATCTACAAAGATGTGATGGGTTGAGGCACTTAATACTCACATCTATATAGGCATATATGCTGGAAGGTGGTGGGCTCTTATGGTGGTGATGATGATGATAGTGAAACATTTTCTTTCTTACACATCTCTCCTCCACTGAGGGAGACCCCATAGCTGTAAATAAATTTCCTCATGTAATAGTCGCACCTCCCTTTTTATGCGATAGAATATGGTAAGTTTAAAAGACATAGGTATAACATTTAGACACATTAAAATCATTTATACCAATAAAATGCCAATTTAAAATTTATAGTTTAAAATTGACTGAGTAAATGGGTTGGTGAATTGGAAACTTTAAAGGAGTTAACCAAGCTGCTGAATCTTAACTACAGAATAGCTTTGACATCTTGGATACCTCCTTTATATTCATGATTAGAACATAAAGGGGTTCAATACTCCTCAGAATCATAAGGGCTCACTGGGCAAATGCACTTTAAAACAGAGATTAAGAAACATGTTGCTGAACTGGATGTCCCCTCACCATCATTGGCTATGTTGGCTGCAGTGTTGGTTGTTATTACATTAAACATTACAGGAAAAAAATAAGATTGGTTCCTTGGGAAATTTGAGGCCATCTTTTTCTATAATACAATGATGAAGGTCAAGTTGTTTTTTTTAAAAGTAAAATGGAAGCAATATTTCCTACCAGACTTCATTGATTGCCTACCAATAAGCTCCTGAAGTACTCTTTAAATTTTGCTTGGCCATAACTTCTGAAAATACAGAGAAATGCTGTTAGGTTAAGTGTGTGTGTGTGTGTGTGTGTGGGGGGGGGAGTACAGATTAGAATGGGGACTTTTTACAAAATTGCACTCATTCTCTTGTGAAATATATAACTGACATTGTACTAATATGAAGGAGAGCAATGAGAAGGCCACATACAGACAAGGTGGAAGTTCTTGAAATCTTTGCATCTCTTTGTTAGGCAAGATATTTTAAAAAGGAGAGGAAATGTAGAAACAGGATATTTCAAGTCGTACCCTCTACATATTGTCTCTGAGATGTAACAGAGTAGAAAGGTCAGACTCTGCAGGCTGCCAGCTGGCATTCTCTAGATGAAATGATGGTGCTAACTTTTCACCCAGAACAGTTATTATGCTGTTGAGAGTGAAAGGAACACATGACTCATAGCATTTATTTTTTAAGAGGTGGTTAAATAGGCCCTTCTATATCTATTAAAATATTGTCTTCCTTAGTGAGAAATTTCTTTTAAAGTTGTCCAGATAGGAATCATGCATTTCTGATGTTTTGTTGGAATGTAATTCCCAACATTCCTCACTATTCTCTGTGCTGGCTAAGGCTGCTGGGATCTGGAGTCCACCAACTCCTGATGGGTCACATGATTCCCATCTTTGCCATAAGACAGACCCTTTGTTGGTTTGTGATGAAAGAACCTCTGGTTGTTTTCCTGCTTATATAATTATTGCACTTTTGGTTGTTCATGTATTTTGAGGACTGTCTGCATGGAAGAGAGATATTTGTAACACAAATTAACATATTGGCCCACTATGGCTACTTACTTGATTTCTGCCTTGCTTTCTAACCATGTCCTGGAAACAGATTTTATACTTTGTATACAAAACAACTGAAGTAAACATGGTTATGTGTGTGGATGAGAGAAACCCTGATTATTCATAATGTGCTATGATGTTCAATTATTACACGGTTGTTATCTGTCTATATCTTGCACTTGGAAAATCAAAGCACTTTAGAAACAAACACTGATTTACTTTGAAAACAGGGTCTTGGAACTGATGAAGATACCTTAGTTGAGATTTTGGCATCCAGGAACAACAGAGAAATCAGAGAAATTTCCAGAGCATACCAGGAAGGTAATGTACTGTTTATCTCCTTTTAATAATGTAATAGAATATCCCTTTTGTGAGCAGATTAATAGTTTGCTCAACTGGACAGTATGTAAGCAAAGGAAATGAATGTTTTGTATTCTGGTCAAAATACAGAATTAAGTATAAGCTAAGAATCTGGCTGCTCAGATGTTTGTCTTCTGATGAAAATGGGCAATTGTGGCACCAGAAAATTATGGCAGCTGCACAGTATGTGTACTATGGATTGCCCATGCATGAGACAAAAAAAAAACAAAACAAAAAACCAAACGTATATATTAGGTACTACTAGGCAGAGTGCCAGTATGATGTAACTGTTTGAATGTTGGACTAGAACTTGAGGAAACTAGAGTTTGAGTTCCTCCTTTGTCATTTAACTCCCTGGGTGGCATCGGCCATGTTAAATATTTGTTTTGATAATGATTTTTATTCTTTTTCTAGTTTTTAAGAGAGATCTGGCCAAAGACATTGCATCAGATACATCGGGAGACTTCCAGAAGGCTTGTCTTGCCTTAGCAAAGGTACACTGTTTCAAAACAATTATGCTTCTGGGCTTAAATCTAAAAATGGGTTTGTTTAAAGGTAATCTGAGCTAGAATATCAAAAAATTCATACCCAGGTTGAGTTGTCACACCCTAGGGTTGAATTTGAAAATTCTATGGCTTCAATCTCACCGTTTGGATTCCCCTTCCTCAGTGAACAACGCTTAAGACACATCTGTTTGATTTCCCAATATTGGGCACTGGTTTCCGTTGTCAAAAATGCTAACATGTCCCCATATAGGCTCAAATGTCAAAAGTTAGAGCTTTAAGTTACAATATACATTCATTCATGGTCCTGCTTTTTTGAAGAATCATAGAACCCATTGAGTTGGAAAGGAGTGCAAGGGTCTCTGCTCCAGTCTTCAGTCAAAGCACTCCCAAAAGATGGCCATGTAACATCTGTTCAAAGACCTCCAGAGGAGCTCCACTCTCTGAAGCAAGTCTTACTATCAACTAGAAATTTTTTTCAAATATTTAGGTGGAATCTTTTTTCTTATAATTTAAATCAACTAGTTTTTGGAGCAGCAGAAAACAAGTTTGCTCCATTTTCTACATAATAACCCTCCAGATAATTAAATATGACTATCCAATAACTTCTCAGTTTTCTTTCCCCAAACTAAGCAACTGGTTCACCAAATTATTCTTCATAAAGCTTGGTTTTTAGACCTTTACTATCTCCTCTGGCCCTTCCCACCCCTAGAATATGGTCTCTAAGACTCTCTCTGAAATTTCATTTGGGGTGCTTCGAGACAGAGCCAAAATGCACATTTTAAATCTAGGACAAAAACGCCAGGGAATTGACAGCAGGTCCACACACAGACCTGTCAGTTCTGGGAAAAGGACCCTCACTGTCCTTAGAGTCTTCTTTTGTAGTAAATCAAGATGGAAGGCAGATGGGGGACATCTGGTGTAAGTTTTTTTTAATGTACTCAGTTATACACTGGGTCGTAAATGTACACATGGGTATATCTTAACTAAATACAAGCGGATTCACATGTGTACATATGAGGTCCAACACATAATGGAGTGATTTTTTTTTTAAAAAACTTCTGTCGGATCTCTCTTTATCCAATTGTTGATTCAAGCTCTGTTTAATATTATAATTAATATTATAAAGTTTAAAAGAAAGCGTTTCAGAGAGTTTTAACTGCTTTCCACTTGTGCTTCCCTTGTGTCCATGGCTTCATGTTTTGATAGCTTAATCAGCTGATCAGCTGTTCTGGGCTTTTAAAAAGTGTACATGTGCTGGATCAGTCTACACAGGGGGAGGGAAGGAAAGCATGTGTTTTGTACGGCTGTAGGGATATACAGTCATGCAAAGGTGCACATTTTTCAGGTGGAATCGGGTTTTAAGGATACCTTTTTAACATGTGGTTTTCAGCTGTTAACCTGATTCCACCTGCATTTTGGCTAAACATTGTTTAGCCAGCCACCCACCTTCCTTTAACTCAGTTACTTCCAGGTTTTTAGTCATGTGTAAAAGGGCCCTTGGTCTCAAAGTTTAAATAGGATTCGCCACTCACAATGTATAAAGTGGTAAAAGTGAACTTCAATTTTTACAGGGTGACCGTGATGAAAATCCTCATGTGAATCAAGAACTGGCAGATAATGATGCACGGGTAAGAGTAATCTACATCTCTTAAACTAAAATTTCTATGTGTCCTATCAAAGTGATCTCTGCCTTAGTGAATCTACTCTCAAGCATTTATGCACCTTGACTATTTCTTCCCTACCTAAATTACCATATATACTCAAGGACAAAATTATGGATTTTGATATGACACATGGATGTTGAGGGTCATTCCATGCAGAGGGAAAGCACCAATGCCAACTCAGGAGACCAGTCACCCCTGACTGCCATCACAATTTCCTCGCTCAAGCATTTAAAAAGGCCAGGAGCAAAGAAAGGCCAGTCCAGCAAATAAAGCACAGAAAGTTGGGGCTTTCAAAATGTTCTCCTAAGACAGACTAAGCTCTTGTTTCTCACCACTCTAATCAGAGAAGGTGTGGTTACTTGCTCACTAAGAACTATGATGCAATGCTCACATTGACCCATGGATAAGTTGGTCTAGGTTTTGTGAGTTGATTTTTTTTACTAAAATTTCTAGACATAAACATGAGTGTATATGATATTTTGATTGTTACTCTTTGATTTCATTCTACTGCTTCATTGAAATAGGCCTTGTATGAGGCTGGGGAAAGAAGAAAAGGAACAGATATTGGCTGCTTTATCAACATCCTCACTTCAAGAAGTCCCAACCATCTCCGCAGTGGTAAGTGGAATGCAATTATTTATGTGAAGAAATCAGTTATTTTAAAGCTGGCTGGCTTCATATGTAAGAAATGATTAAAAACACAAAATGTTACTGCTGAAGAATATTCATTTGAAGCCCGCTCAGTCAGAAGGGGATGTTCTCATGAGATGAATAGATCTTAACTGAAAGAAGAAATGCATAGATGTGAAGTGATACAGAATTTTCAGGAAATCAGAGTTTGTTTACTAGTTAAGAAACTAGGAGGAAAATCATCATAAATTACATTGACACAGGAAAGTAATAATAATTTCAACATCTTTCTCCTTGCCGTGAAGAGTTGTTGAAAACTGCAGTTGAAGGCTTTATTCTGTATCAAGAATGGCATTTTCTGGGTAATAAATATGTTTCCTGTTCAAAAAATGTTTTCTGCAAGAAAAAAATTACATGCATTTTCATACTGAGTAAATCCCAAGCTGAAAGGTTTGACCTGCCTAAGATTCTCATTGTTATGGTTTCCTGAAAAAATTTCTATCTCCACTCCCTTACAAAAAATATTGGACAATGGAATACTATATTTACTTAAGTCTAATGCACCATCGAATGTAATGTGCACTCCAAATTTCAAAACTCTGAATTTAAAAAAAGGATTTGCTGCTGAATGTGATGTGCAGCAGCAAAAAGTGCACTCTTTGTCATTTGGCTAAAAAAGGTGCACACTACAGTTGCAGCCTGCTTAGGATTCATTCTTTTGCTTTGGCTCAGGATTAAGACTTCTGTATTTTGCAAATCTAATGCCCAACCTAATTTTGGCAAGGGAATTTAGCCAAAAATTGTGAGCATTAGATATGAGTTAACAGGATATATATTTTTTTAATTGGCTGGAGCCCTTTTGCTGGATGCATTTAATAAGGCCTGATCCAATTTAGGTTCTGATTTGGTGATTCAGAACATGCCACAAAATACTTCCAGCTGAATCTGAAATCTAGATCTGGATTTTAAAGTGGGAGTCCAGATTGCCACTTCTCTTGTTTCCATTATGCACATCTAGGTGAAACAGTGTCCATCTACACTGTAGAGTTAATGCAGTTTGATACCGGTTTAACTGCCATGGTTTAATGCTACAGCAGGTACTGTATTGTAGTTTGGTGAGGCACCAGCACTTTTTGATAAGAGAAGACTAAAGGCCTTGAATAACTCAGATTCTCTTGATTCCATAGTACTGGCCCATAGTAGTTAAAATAGGGTCAAATTGCTTTAATTCTATTGTCTATGCACCATTAGAGACATGGTAGAGCCCAAAAAGGAGATTAACTGCACAACTGCAGACAAAGAGTTTAGGGGATTTTTGTTTTGCTGCTTTACAAAGCAAAAATGACACTTTTTGTGTATCTGTCTTGACTGATGTTTAATTCTAGGTTGACAGGTTATTTGAGGAGTTAATTTCTGAATGAACAAACTGATCTCAGAATGTTTTTGTATGTGTGTGAAGAGGTATGTAGAATAATAGCAACTAAAAAGCTTCTGAAGCAAATCAATACTAGTAGTTGAGAAAGATGAAGGAAACGCTTTTAAGGACTGTCTCCTAAAATAGACATGCACACTTACACCATTTTACTTCCCTTGACAGCCTCTCTCACTCAAAAGCAGGTGGTTATTTTCCCCAAATAAGTGAATACATATAAGCTTTAGAAGGGTGGCCATCTGCTCTAAATTTCCAGTGTTTATAATTTCTTTGATGTTCAGTTTTCCAGAAATACGCCAAATATAGCAAGCACGACATGAATAAGGTTCTGGACCTGGAACTGAAAGGAGACATTGAAAACTGCCTGACTGCAATTGGTATGTAACCATATTCCACATCTGATTAATCTGGTCCTATGTTGTTGTCCTCATTGCTCTAAAACACTTCTACAGCTGATGGAAGGAACCAGAGAAACAGTTTTTATCTCAACGGATGTACATTTTGCCTCATAAAAGCAAAAGAGTGTATGTATGAGAAAGAGTGAGTGTGTGGGATGTCCTGGCCCACTTTGGATTTAGGGTCCCGCCACTGGTGGCATTTGCTTTTTCCTTCTCATTTATTGTTTATTTTGGCAGTTGGTGGAACAGCTTTCCAACTTGCTTTCCCTGACAAGTCAGTAAATAATTGAATCTGTATTCAGAGTTGGATCTTATAATTCTTTTGTTTTTCTCCCTCTGATCTTTGCTGGTTTGGTCATTGCTGAGTTTTTCTGGGTTGGTTGCAAGGTCCATAATGCACTCTTCTGGTAATTAAGAGGCAATAGGCTTCCAGCCTGTCTTGCTTATTGGGATAAAGATTTGGGTACAAGGACTGGAGAACCAAATCGACTGGGGAGGTAAAATAAAGATTCCCGATAAGTTTCTTAGGTGTTCATTTTGCAATCAAAATAATTTTCAGTTGATGCACATTTATCTGAAATCTTGTGGATCTGAAATGAACTTTTTGAAGAAGACATGCTGCACAGGATTTCATTGTAAATCATAAGCAAAATTGGAGAATAATTGTGGTTCCAGCAATGATAGGTGCTTTGAAGACACTCCAAATGGATTTACAAAACATCTGAATGAATGGTCATCTTTCAGAATTTGGAATACTTGTATTTGGATATAGATATATAATGAAATATCTTTGAGATAAGGCCCATGTCTAAATAAAAATTCATTTATGTTTCATATGCACCTTATACACATAGTGTGAAAGTAAAGCCACACAATAGTTGCAGTAATTTCGTGTGTGAAACAAAATTTGTATACATGAACTGTCACTATTTCAGCTATTCATATGGACAATTTCAAATTTGGGAGTATTTCAGATTTTGGAAATTTCAGATAAGGGATGCTCAACCTGTACTGGTCCCTAAACTGACTTCATGGTAGCTTCAATGGTAGGAGCATGCATACACTAACAACGGCAATGCAAATGTTCGAGAGTTATGGATAAAACATCTAAAGTAGTTTAATAATGCCACGGCAGTGGGACCTCTCTGCATGTAATAAATATCAGCTGTCCACTTTTTGTAATGAAAAGGAACTTTAGGAGAAGATACAGTACGTTTGGGAGATAATGTTTTCCATTGTTATCAGCTGCCAACTTTCGATCCTGTCTCTCCAAGCTGCTTTACCTCTCCTTGATAGGTTTTAGAGGTGAATATTTGTTACTACAAAATAGTAAAATCTCCCTTTCCATTCACTGCTTCTCTGCCTGGAGTTCAGCTCTGATTCTGCAACATGGTTTTGCATTGTCTTTAATTAATGAGTATCCAAGTCACTATCTTCAGGATTTTCATTTGTTGTTTCTGCCCTTTGTGTTTTCCTTACCCTCCTATCCTAAGTAACTCCAGTTCTGTTCCATTTCCAGTGAAATGTGCCACAAGCAAGCCTGCTTTCTTTGCTGAAAAGCTCCATTTGGCCATGAAGGTAAAATATATCTTACTTTTGGGATACAAAAGGGAATTCTGCTCTAAAGGGGTGGGTGTGGGTGGGTGGGTGGGGTGGTGCCTGAGCACACTGATGCTACCTCCATATGCACTGAATCCAAGGGAGGTACAACAAGATTTTCATCTGGACTGACAATGGGGGTGAAATGTATTTGCATAGCGAAGGCTGAGAATTTGAGATAAAATGGAAATATCATACTCTCAGGGTTCATAATACCAACAGTGGATCTAAAGAAACAATATTATAAGGCAAAACAATGAAAATATGATCTGACTTCATACATATGCGTTTAGTGTATATATATAAAAGACAGAACATCTTGTTGTGGTGGTATGCCTTCAAGTAGTTTCCAACTTGTTCTGACTTAAGGCAACCTGAACACATGTCTTCTGGGCTGGAAGTATATGGCTTGTTCAAGGTCAGCCAGTGAGTTTCCATGGCTAAGTGTTGGTCTCCAGAATGCTAATCCAATGCTCTAACCAGTATGCCATGCTGGCCCTCAGACATCTTGTGGCTTTCCACATTTTCCAATTTTCTTGGGCTAAAACCCTTATCAACATTGGTCATCAGGGCCAATGAAGATAGCTCTCTTCAAACTGGTTTTAAAGTATTTCTCTCTGCTGGAGATTTATGAATTTTCTTTGTTTTCTGTTCTTTTGTATTATGAATTTTAGGAAGTTTGGCATATAGTGATAACTCTGAAAATCCAGAATAGTGCATAAACAAGAGACAGTTAAGAATAATAGGCCACTCTAATGGTAATGCAATGAACTGTCATGTCTCATTAACAGGGTTCTGGAACACGCCACAGAATTCTGAATAGGATCATGGTTTCACGTTCTGAAATTGACATGAATGAGATCAAAGGTTTTTATAAGGCAATGTATGGGAAAACTCTTGCCCAGGCTATATTGGTAAGTAAATTGGGATTTTTTTTTTGGGGGGGGGGGCAGCAGTTTAAAAGTTTATAGCAAACAAGATGGGATGGCTAAGAATGTTCGTCTAGCAATCTTGTTTTCTTAGGGAAACAATTATTTTTCCTAGTGACAGAAATTAACAACACTGGGATTTCTATTGTAGCATGCCCACCAAAATCATAAGACTATGTCTGTTATTTTGCTATGTGAATTATTTATAAGAAAGCCTGTTCTGAAAAAAGAAAAGAAAATTATCTTGGAAGTGTTTATAAGTGCACAACAAAATGCTAGGCACTGAGGTCTGACTAGATCCCTAACTGATCTCAATTATAAGAGTTTTTGCTTGCCTAGATTCTAATTCACTTATGGTCTTAAACAAAGTTTGAGTTCTATTTTTATATTTCTATAACTATTGAAATCTCTTTAGGGGATTGGAGGATTTGCAGTTTCCGGGACCTTGGTGCATGCTTCATGTTGCAAGTAGAACACATTTAGGAATTAAATATATTCATGACACATTCTGGTTAGACTCCAACATGGCTTTTAATATAATAGCTCTCTCTCAGCATAGCTATGGACACTTTAAAACCAATGTGCATATGATGTTGTTGTCTCTGGATTTAGGTAATAGACATTAGGGCGGTGTCCGGGAGGGCTATTGCACAATTGAGACTTGTGCGCCAGCTGCGACCGTACCTCGTGAAGGCTGATCTGGCTGGGGTAGTCCATGCCTTGGTCACCTCTAGACTGGATTACTGCAATGCGCTCTACGTGGGGCTGCCCTTGAAAACGGCTCGGAAATTCCAGCTGGTCCAATGGGCAGCAGCCAGGATGTTAACCGGGGCTCATTACAGAGAGAGGTCAACCCTCCTGTTTAAGGAGCTCCACTGGCTGCCGTTTATTTTCCGAGCCCAATTTAAGGTGCAGGTGCTTACCTACAAAGCCCTGAACGGTTTGGGACCACCCTACCTGCGTGACCGTATCGCTGTCTACGAACCCACACGCTCACTCCGGTCATCTGGAGAGGCCCTGCTCGTGATCCCGCCCACGTCGCAAGCGCGCTTGGTGGGGACGCGAGACAGGGCCTTTTCTGTGGTGGCCCCCCGACTCTGGAACGCCCTCCCGAAAGATCTCAGACAAGCCCCTACATTGGCAGTCTTCAGAAAGGAATTGAAAACCTGGCTGTTCCGATGTGCCTTCTCAGACTAGGAACCTCCAGCACCAAATCCTAGAAGCACTTTAATAGAACCAAGATCACTGCACACTGCACATCGCACTTATATTATAATCCTACATCCCTCCCGCCACATCAGCACTTTTAATCCTGTACCCCTACTCCGGCCAGCCCAGTTTTAATAGTGTCTTGTTGCATTGTTACTGTTATTGTTTTCCTGCTTAACTGTTTTTATTTTGCTTTAGGTATTGTATTGTTGTATGTGTTTTGGGGCTTCGGCCTGTGTAAGCCGCATCGAATCCCTTGGGAGATGCTAGCAGGGTACAAATAAAGTAATAATAATAATAATAATTTAGCACAGCAGGTTAATCACCAAGCTGCAGTAAATCTTGCTAACCAGAAGGTTGATAGTTCGAAGCCTGGGTCAGGGTGAGCGCCTGACCTTTCAACCCAGCTTCTGCTCACCTAGCAGTTTGGAAACAAGTATGCGAGTAGATAAATAAGAACCTCATTAAAGTGGAGAGGTATTTTAGGCATGGTGGGAGAAAGTTTACGAACAAAGAGTGACAGCACTGCTCTGTGGCTGGAACCAAGCACAGCTGAAAGATGGGAAAGCCTAAATATATACCCCTATCTGTTGTCTGTCTTGTCATTGCACAGCTGGCATTGAATTTTATTCTGTTACTAACAGTAATGGGCTGCTATATTTTGAATTAAAATGTCATGGTTCTTTTTCTCTGTAGGATGAAACAAAAGGTGACTATGAAGCCATCCTGGTGGCTTTGTGTGGTGGTGACAACTGAGTCTCAAGTACATCAGATGCATCGAACCACTCTGTTGAAGATATTATTCTTTTAAAGCTCAAGCTGTTACATATATGTATGATAATGTCTCTAAGCAGAGAGTAATCTCTGAGATAGATTAGTGCCTAATTTTCATATTTTGTAAAACTGTAGTCTACCTTTAAAAATCTGTTAATGACTTCTCTGGTATTATCCACTTTTTCATACATTATTATTCAAAGTCAAAGAGCATATTAAGAATGGCTGTATTTGCTTTTATAAGGTTAGCCAATATTAAAGGTACAGAACTTGCCTAAGCATGTCAAAGTAACATTCCAAATAAAGTTAGGTTTGTCATCTCTACTGTGGCTCTTTATTTTCTCATTCAGGTTTGGATCTTATGCCTGTTGTTTTCCTTTCCAGTATGTAAGAGTGACGTATTCATGCCATGCATGACTGAGGCCACAACATTTGCCACACCCACAAAATTGGAGGTGCCCCTTAGCTCTATTTATTGGACCCCTCCATATTTCTTTCCATATCACGAGGTTTCAAAATGGACTTGGAATGCACCTCCCCTTTAAAGAATGGGAGGATGGGAAAAAGAAATAGATGAGAGTGAGATGTGATGGAGAGATGGTGGGGATTATATACACTCAATAGATGAAATCAAGTGGGAAGGGAACAGGTGATAGTGAACAGTGAGAGGAAGGATCAAGGGAAGCTGGAAGAGAAAACAGGGAGAGCAGGAGGAAAGGAGGGCATGAAGTGTCACATAGATGTTGCATTCCCAAGTGTGGTCTACATTGTAGAAGGAGGGAAGCTTTGCAAGTGGCAGTTGATGATCAGGGAGAAGTGGGGAAGCAGGAGCATGGCAATTACAGCTGCCTATTCAGTCATGCTTAGGGCTCTTTTTTCTCCAGCATGTGCACTTGTTGGGCAGAGAGAGGAAGGAAATGACTGCAGAGCTGGTGCTTGAAATCTGGGACAGCTGCAGAGAAATGCGTCCTGTTCTTTACTTTCCTTAAATGCCTCTCTCCTCCGGCTCCCATCCACTTACACTATCCTGCCCAAGGGAGGGAACATGTGTTCTAAAGATAATGTTTTTCCATGTTCACACCCCTAACTGCAATGAAAGTTGATGGCCAGCTATAGTTTAAACATACAAAAACATCATTAAAATGGCATTAAAATAACACTTAAACAACAGTTTAAAAACACTGCAAAAATGGTACAACACATTCTTAAAAAGCCTTTCTAAAAATGTGTTTGCAAAATCCTGTCAAAATAATAAAAGAATTCCTACCACCAAAAACACCGCAAGGAAGAAGCCTAACTTATCTAGGAAGGAAGTTCCTGAGACTTTAGGTCAGTGGTTCTCAACCTTCCTAATGTCACAACTCCTTAATACAGTTCCTCATGTTGTGGTGACACATAACCATAAAATTATTTTCATTGCTACTTCATAACTGTAATGTTGCTACTGTTGTGAATCATAATGTAAAAATCTAATATACAGAATGTATTTTCATTCACTGCCCAAATTTGAATACTGGTGGGGTTGGGTGATTGATTTTGTCATTTGGGAGTTGTAGTTGCTGGGATTTATAGTTCACCTACAATCAAAGAGCATTCTGAACTCCACCAATGATGGAATTGAACCAAACTTGGAACACAGAACTCCCATGACCAACAGAAAATACTGGAAGGGTTTAGTGGGCATTGACCTTGAGATTTGAAGTTGTAGTTCACCTACATCCAAAGAGCACTGTGGACTCAAACAATGATGGAACTGGACCAAATTTGGAAAGAATACTCAATCTGCCCTAATGTGTTTGGGGGAAATAGACTTTGACATTTGGGAGTTGTAGTTTCTGGGATTTATAGTTCACCTACAATCAAAGAACATTTTGAACCCCACCAACAATAGAATTGAACCAAACTTCCCACACAGAACCCCCATGACCAACAGAAAATACTGTGTTTTCTGATAATCTTTGGTGACCTCTGACACCCCCTCATAACCCCCCCCCCCAATCTGGAGATCTGATCTCCAGATTGGGAAACGCTGCTTTAGATAGTCAATGAGACCCCATCTACACTGCTATATAATGCATTTTGAAGCTGCATTGTATGGTTAATGTACTCATATAATGCATTTTAACTGCTTTGAGCTGTATTATATGAGTCTACACTGAATATTTAATACAGCTTCAAACTCTTAGTGCAATATTAATAATTAAGACCAAAAACAAGCATTTTATCCTTGCAATGTGTGGTTCAGCTATCTGGAGGGCCAAAGTTTCCCAATTAATTGCAGAATGTCATAAATCAACAAGAAACTGGTATTGCTGGCCTTTTTTCACCCCTGCTTTGTGATGGAATAGGGGTTGCTTTTTAAATCTGTGACATGAATAATTTTGTGTGGCTCGAGGCCCTAATTCTTACAGCTAACTTAACACCTGAAGCCATTATACATGCAGCAGATACTTTCAAGACACTTGAATTAATAGTTAGTTTGCAGATAGACAAGAAAGAAAAGTTGCCTGTTTCACAGTGCAATTACCTGCACCAGTTCTAGGCTGGTCTGTTTTGACTCTGTAATTATAAAGCAGGATGTTAGGTTCTGTCCTCCCATATTTACAGGTTAACAAAAATCTTTGAATGTTTCACTTTCTGAGTGCTATATGCATTTTTATTTTTCTGTTTTTCCTATGCTCACAATGGTCCCAAGGATTATTCCACTGTCAGGTCTTCAGTACACACAATGAACTTGCCCAATGAAAAGTTCCTAGCATTTTAGGATGCATTTGCTAAGATAGTAGCAAACGTTAGGTGACTTCTCTAAGCAATAGAACATATGATGCAGCAGAAAAATGAGAGAAAGACCTGAGTTCTCTTTCTGAAGTCAAAAGAGATCATCAGTGCAGCAGGTTCTGAATGTGCAACATAGAGAATGTGGCTTGTATGCTGCTGGCAGAAAGAAGCTATGAAGGGAAATCAATTAGGACACAGGAAACCTTTGAAGCTCTCCTGTAAACAGTCAGGATTGCCAAAGAATTGATTTTGTTTTCCCCATGTATAGCTTGCATCCCTTTTTATTGCCCTTTGGACTTTTGAGCCTATTTTCCATTGTCTTGTTTCACTACTTTGCACTATATTCCATCAAACTTGGCAGGAACCTTTAAAACAGAAACCAGTTTACTGTTGTTCTCCAAATCTTTCCTAAGCAAGCTTGCAACAAGAGGTTTCTATTGTGTTATATGCCTTGTTTCCTTGTTCTCCTTCCTCAGAGAAGTATGAGATGTAATTCCATGTCTGGTGACGTCATCAGAGAAAAGCTTTTTATGATGCGTAAAGAATGGCAATGCAATACCTTGTAATATAGTGGTTCTACCTACCCCTCTGTGAATGCTTCCTAAGGATAGTAACAGGGAGGGCAGATTGCTCCCCACCGTAGTATTTAACACCAACAGAAAGTTTATGAAATTTGTCAGCAGGGATGTTGGCATGAGATACTCTTGGTATGGTGATGACACACAACTCTCTGTTTTACATGAAGTAGAAGTGGTAGTTAAAAGTGGCCCTACTCTCAGGGCTTCCAAGTCAGAAACTATGGAAGAAAGAGGTATCAGATGTCTCAAGAAGGGAGCCTCTGTATCTGAGTTCAGTCATTAAACAGTCCAAGGGCCATAAATCCATTGAGCACAATTGCAGAACCTGAGCTATCAAGAGGAAAAATGGAGGTTGCTGGTGAATGTAACCTCTTTATATAAGCAGCGTGCTCAGCCAACATCTTAATCCCAGTTAGTATTTAGGTAGAGAATCATATTTCCTTCTCATGTCTTAATTACAGCCTTTCACTTTGTCAGTGAGGGATGGTCTCAGCCAGATGTCTGAGCCTCCACCTTTCTCTGAAACTTGAGGGAAAATGGTCTGTCTCTAGCTAATCTTCCTGTTCTAAACTTAACTGATTTAAAACCTCATCACATGAAGGCAGATGAGTGCTTTTTCCTTGCTTCTCTGCACTGCCAGCACAGAGTCCCCAAGAGCCCATCACATGACACAGGGGTAATTCTGGCAGGGCTCCATGCCAGCAGCGTGCCAGCAGGGAAGCCCAGAGGAGTCAGATCTACACCTGACTCCTCATCCAAAAAAGTTACTCGAGATGAAAAGAAAATGGGGGACAGCTGGGAAACATTGTGGGGTGCATCTAGACAGCCTCTTTATTGTGGTAACTCCCACAATAAAGAAGGGGCTGTCCAGATGATGTCCTGGACAATCCCGAATTAATTCGCTACAAACCAGGAACCCCTGGTTTGTAGCAAATTAATTAGATAGTAGATTTATTCTGGGCCTTCTTGGAAGGTGCAGGATAAATGCACTACTTCAACTGTCTGGACTTTTGAGGGGGCAATCCAGACAGTAGCCCCTTGTTTTCCAGGCTGATTCAGCCTGGAAAAGTGCAAGGGCTCCATCCCCCCCCCCAAAAAACTCTAAAAAATAAATAGAAAAGTTAACATACCAATTACACTCAAAATGAAGGGAGGGGGATCGCTCCTGGCTTCCCCTATGTTTTGGGGCATCATTGGTATATTCCCTCAGGTAGGAAGAGAAGGTGAGGGTGGGGCGGGGGATTGGATGGCCACATGCTATCCTGGAAGTATTCAGGATAGCATGTGGACAGCCAAAGGGGAAAGCCCATTTTCCCCCCTGCCTGTGTGGATTTTAACCCCCTTTGGAGCGGGTTTCTTAAACCTGCTCCAAAGTGGGTTTAATTATGTGTGGAACTGCCCGTGGAAAGGCAGAAGACAGACTCTGATGGTAAGAAAGACAACCAGAGAGATTCCCTATGCTGCCCCATGATTTTTCCCACTGTCTCCTGTTTTTCAAATGGCCATCTAATGAGGTGTTTGCTGAACTAAAGGAGAACTTGGCTGGCTATCAGGTATCTGCGGCTCCTTGTCTTCATCAGATGTCAAACTCTCAAGGGGGAGACATAACAAATACACAAAGTGTTTAACCTATTTGTGGGATAGCATCTAGCATTCTAGACATAAGCAGATTCATTATCCCTACTGACAGGTCAGCCACCAGCTACCACAAAACGCCATATCCATATTGCTGTTCACAGATATTCATGTAGCATGTAAAAGGGCCTTCACAGAGTCAGGGTATGAACATGAACTCTGCAGAATCTATACCCCTGCATGTGGTGTTTGTGTGTGTAAGAGGAACAAACAAAGGGAATTTCTTTCCATGCCCTTTCAAACTGTTGAGATCCAGATGATGCCTTGGTGAGAATGATTGATAACACTTACAACCTGCTGTCTTCAGCTGATAATAAGCTTTAGAAATTGGAT